AATACCACTACGACCCCTACAAGTACAGTGGGACCTTCACCAGGGCCTGAACCTAGTACCATCAGTACCACTACGACCCCTACAACTACAGGAGGAACAACGCCAGCGTCCCAACAAAGTATACTAAGTACCACTATAACTGCACCACGAACTATATCAACCACTACACTTTCACATTCTCGGGGCTTGAATATAATTTACAGAACGTATTACTGTTTGTGTTTCGTGTGGAGAAATGTTCAAGTCGTGTGAGTAAAGAATCTAGTCAGACTGTAAACTGTGTATGGAGAATGGAAACGTTGCTGTTCTGGCCTGATCTTTAATATCGATTCACTTTCTTTCCAGTTGTCCTTCGTCTGACGGCGAGGGTTTCCTCTGTGGTGCCTCTGACTGACGAGTACATCGTTACTGTCCTCCAACAGGTCGGTATCTTCTTATCAGAACCACACATCCTGTCCGAGCTTCAGACATCACACAGGCACTTCAAATATGTCACAGTTCCAGTTTTTGTTTTATTTTCTTCCTGATCCTGAAAGAAGATGAGGAGCAGATATTTAATCTGATGAAAACGTACACTGTATGTTAAGATATGCCTCCCGAAAAGCCAAATCTTCTTGATCGCCCCCTAAGGGCTGGCTGCAGTATAGAAGACAAACCCTGCCACTTCCATCTGAAATATCTGAACATAATCTGGAGCACCAACCTGAATCAGAACTACATTTACAAAGTACAAGTACTCAGTTAGTCTACTCAAGTTAATGTCCTGACACACACACACACACATCATCACCTCTAAGATAAATATGATCATATCTCAGCGTCGCTCTGTTTTCTCCTCCAGTTTAAAAATGAACTGGTGAATTACGGATTGCCACCCGGCACCAATCTGACGTTACTGAGGAAGGAAACACAGCCCACCCGTCCGCAGTGATGCTTCAGTGTGATCACGAGTTTGCAGAAACGTTCATCTGAATGTAAAGGTTGAACTGGGGAAACTGGAGTTTGCTTTTCTGTGTGGGGAGAAGTCAACAGAGGTCAGAGGTCATTAAACTGTTACCGTGGAGACAAAAAAATGCAATCACTGTTTTTTTTTTGTTTTTTTTACCAACAGCTGCTGATTGATTTTGATGCTGTTGCCTTTTTTTGAAATAAACATTGTTGATTTGTATTGTTGTTTGTCTGTGAATCCCCCCCCCCTCCCCCGCCATTTGAATTTCCCTCCGGGTATTAATAAAAAATGTCTGATTCTGATTCTGACATAATTCATTTGTTGCCATGGAAACAGCTCGTAGTGGACAGGAGTCACTCATTTCTTAATACGAAGACTGTGGGCGGCAGGTGTCATTGATTGTCTAACCTTTTAAGCTTTTAAGTTGTTAACGCAAAATGAAATCACTGTTTTCTTTTATTTATTTTCAATCTCTAACCAACGACAACTCTCTACTGTTGTTTGTTAAATATCCACCAAGACATAATGTTCAAAATCAAGAATTCACAACACTTTCAAAAAGACACAACGAGTCAGAGTAGTTTAAAAGACATCAGTTTTACTTCCGGTTGAACGAGCATGAGCAGCATGTCAATAGGAATAATACACAGGTCACGGTTTGTAAACTTGTTCATCATGAAGCCACATGATATTAAACTCTTTATGGTTTTGTTACGAGGGCGGGAAACTAACTTGTTCGACCAATCAGCCAACAAACATCAAGTTTTTCCTGCTGAGGAAAATTCTTTAGGAGGCGAAGCTGAGTGTGGAAAACATGAACATTCATTGTTTTCTAAATAACCTGATTGATTCTTGAAGTAGTTTCAAACGTGTGTGACGTTCTGTTGGCTGGTGGCTAAGAGTTAATTCCCTGCCCTCTTTAGTTGTTCACACATTCCTTCCCGCTGTCAAGTTTAACAGCTGATGGGGTGCGCTTGCTTTGCTCCTGCGGGCGAGTCAATGTTGCAGTGTCGCTTGTAGTTGCAGCCTCCTTTCTAAACCGGTCTGTTCAGAACGGGCTGTGTACTGTGCTGATGCTGGTTGCAGCGTTCTCTCTGAAACTGTGAAAGTGACCTGCGGTGATTGAGCTGCAGCAAGTAACACAACGAGCTGCTGTTCATCCAAAGTTCAGTCGGCGCTGGTCTTCTATTTGTTCGAACTCGGTGAATATCGAATGCATCGTGTCAAATCACAAACCAAGTAGCAATAAAAAACTGTTCTTGAGACACGCAAATTATGAGATCGATTGGATCAGTGGGAAGGAAGCAACTGCACAGATGTGGACAAAACGAAAACAAGCGCACCCCTTTGATCGGCATTGATACAATTAAAATAGAACGACTGCATTTCTCAACAGAGTCAAACAAGCGAGCCAGTACCCTGATAGTTAACACACCCCTGGACAAAGAACATTCAGTTTGAAATGTCTGTCAGGTGTCGGACACTTTTGAGTTGTGTAGTTGTGAATCGCAAATGAATCCAATTTTGCAAAAGAAAACTGTACTGAACTTAAAATAGATCGTCGGTAAATATCAGGAATTCGATTTTCTTTGAAAACATGAAAAGTGTATTTTAAAAATCCATATTGGTCCAAGTGATGAAGTCACTTCAAATAAGGAAATGTGTTGTTTTTAAAGGAGCGTCACAACAACTTAGTTAAAATGGATAAAGTCACACAACCCACTGTAACACAAAGTTCCCTTGTGTATCAGAAACAGTTAAACCCAAGTCAAACACAGAATTCAGAATATCAATATACACATTCATGAAAACACACTGGTGGGTGAAGCTGCCAAAAATATCTGGATTGCCCCCTGGAGGCAGGCTGCAGTATTGATCATAAAAACCTGCCTCCTCCATGTTAGTGGTTGGGACATGAACCACAAAAAAATAAATGATAGATCTGTATGTACGCCAAAAGATGATTTCTGTCATTTTAGGTAGTTCTTATCTATTTATTATAAAAATGTGAGAACTTCTTCAGCCAAATTAAACACTTCCTGGCGTACATGGTGAAATTTAAGATAATCTTTGGCTAAAGTTTAATGTTTTGATTTTTCAATAGATCCACATAAAACGAAGCAGCAAATTTAAACCCATCAGTGTAAAAAAGGCAGCTTCACCCGTAACATAAAAATACAGTAATTGACACAGAAAATTCCACAGAATATTCAGAAACAATAAATAAGTTAAGAATCATCCCTTCACTGAGTTTTAACAGCACACTGTTATTTACCAATTACAGGCAAAAGTGTTTAAGATTCACCTGATGGAAAAATATTTGATATCACCTTCAAGACTCCACATCAGTGCATCCCGAGTCATTTCTTAAAGCTTGACTTCAACATTAAGTAGAATTGAGAAAAACAAACAACAAATACAGAATCTGATTCTGTACAAAAAAAAAACAACATAGATAATTTCTTTTGGGAACAAAACAAAATTCAGTAACAGTGTTTTCAGCTGTCACAGTTCTCAACGATCAGTTTACAGTCAGAGATCGAGGCTTTCTGCTCCTGAACGTCTCTTAGCATAAATACTGGTGAGAAGTCAAATCCCTCAAACCCACATTGTAAAAAAAAAACTAAAATCAGCTGGAGTTCGACTGACACTTGGGTTTAAAAGCTTCAAAACCAGAAATCGGTGGGTTAATCGCCACCAAAGTATCTCGTCCTACCACTAGGGGTCCTCCCTTTCCCAAAGCTGCTCAAAGAACAATAACACTTTCCGAAGAATCAGCTCTGGTTCTGAAACTGGTTCCATTCAGACGTCCTGGAACCGGCTTTGAGCAGAACCATTGTAAACAAGGATTGGTCGTCGGTAGAAGGCGCTGTGCGATGGCGGTAAACAGTAGAAGGAAGAAGGTGGATTGCTTCGAGTACACGTGAATGTTTGTACCATTTCAACCTTCACCGAGGAGGTCGTATTTACAGTGTCCCCCTAGTGGTAAGTTGTATAAACCAGTGCAGGCATTTCTGGATTTCTTTTCTAATTGTCATCATGTCCATTTCTCAGTATTTCAGAGAGTTGGAACAAAAGCTTTGCAAAGTGTCAGGACTGATGCCTCATGTGGGGAATTTCTTTCTTCTTCTAACCTTCTGGCCGTTTTGTGAACACACGTAAAAATATCCAGTTTGCTAAACCTGTATCAGTCAAACCCCAGAGTCGACACAATGTGTCAATTTCAAAATAAAAAGTTTAAATAAGAAGAGAATGCTGGTTGTTCGTTTATAGATAGATAGATAGACATGAGTAAAGTATGTCTGTCTGTCGGTCGGGACAGAACATGAGTCTTTCCCTCATTACAGGAAAGACAGGAAACAGATTTCCATGAGTCTGAGGCTGAACTTTTCTTTTCCTGGGGATGAAACCACAAACACACACATTCATCTCATATTCTCTCTCTCTCTTCATTCATCCCCTATGTCGGCCTTTGTCCACCTTCCTCTTCATCGCCAAAGATAAGACATCGTAGTTAGGCAGCAAATTCACTCTCACACGTAAACACACACACACAAAACCTCATCCTCGCTCACAGACCAGAGGTCAGACGTCATAGTCGGGCAGTGCCGAGTAGGTGACGCCGCCGACGGACGGAGGGCTGGAGTGCAGAGGAAGAAACCAAAAAAAGACTGAACCTGGAGAGAGAAGATTAAACCTTGATCAGTGACCTTTAAAGTCGTGACGCGTTGACGGAGCAGGAGACGTGGACAGAAGGACACACCCACCTCGTCCGAAGACCTCCCGCAGCAGAGCGAGCTTGGGCTTACGGGTGTGTGAGGGGGGGTGAGGCAGCTGTGAGGAGGAGGTAGGGGAGGAAGACGAGGCTCCTCTGTCCTTGATCATCAGTCTGTTCCTCATCTGCTCTATCGGAGACTCGTCTGTGATGATGGAGATTAACTGGAGACAAAATGAGTCACAGCAGTGAAGTTTCTTGGGGTTAAAGTCAAACACAACACAAGCGTGTGTGTGTGTGTGTGTGTGTGTGTGTGTGTGTGTGTGTGTGTGTGTGTGTGTGTGTACCTGATCATAGAAGATAACCATGACAAACACACCGAACAGCACAGACTCCACCAGCAGGATGATGTAGTGAGCGCTGAGGGGGAGAGGAAGCAGAGTATAATTCTGTCTCCACTGTAACTTTCATTCTCATCCCCTGGGTGTTACACTCACACTATCAGGTGTTTGCTGGGCGTCTCCTCTCCTTCTGTCTCTGCGTCGCCATCTCTCTCGTTCCTTATCCGCCATACCCAGGCCGACACCACGAGCACCATGGAGTACAGACTGGCCATGCCTGCGCAGGAAGACACAACAACCACTGTCACTTCATGAGGGGCGTGACCTCCAGGTGGAGCTTTGGACAACTATTCTATCGCTTATTAGGCTGCATTTCAAAACACCCCACTAAGCTGCCAGGGTTCATCGTCAGTAATGCTTCAGTGTTTTGTGGTTCAGGGGAGAGTTCGTGTCATAAACCTGCCGTCGACCCACAGGTTTCTATCCATCACTCACCAGTGTAGAAGAGAAACTGGATGAAATACTTTTGGTTTAGTTCACCGACACAGTTGTTGATCCTAAAAAAAAAAAAGAAAATGGGTGAGAGAAAGTTGAAGGTGAGGGAGACCTGACGATGCAGGAGATGAAGGGGAGACATGAAACAGAGACGCTGGTTGGACGGCGTCTCCTCACCATGGACAGTGATGGTCCATGCGGCGTATGCACCTCTGACAGACGCGGCAGTGGTGCGCTCTGGGAGGTCTGTAGGTTTCACAGCGGCTGCACACCGTCCAGCCCTCGCAGCCCTGAAAACGAACAAACCTTCAGCTGATCCCGAGGTGATGACACCAAACGCACAATCACATCAGGTCGCCGTGACCTTTGACCTCTGGAATCTAATCTACTCCTCTTTTTTTCGGGGATATCGTGACAACCAGAGAACGTGACCGGCTCCGGAGCATTACAAAACAAAAAACAAAACACGTGTGTTTCAACGTTATCAGCCCAGAGACAGACGACACTCTGGTCTGGGAAGGTCTGACATGTTGTAACCACGGAGACGCCAGATTAAAGCAACAGGTTCAGTTCAACAGGAGAAACGAGATTGTGTCGTCTTCACAGACAGTCGGGAGTTTCTGGTTTTTCAGGTGACACGTCATGAAGCTGATAATAACAGGCCTCAGGTGAGCACAGCTGTTAAACACAGTGTTGGTCTGAGATAAATACACAGTTATTAATAACAGACTTATAATTAGATTCTCCTTTGTGTTCAGCTCCCTGTTGAAGTCATGATGCCTTTACTGTCAAACGGACGATTTCAATGTCTTCAGGGTGCATTTTATTCTATTCAATTAATGTCTATGTATTTGTACATAGCGCCAAATCACAACATACGTTATCGACAGGGTGAGGTTGAGACCCGACAAAATTCAGCTTCACTCACCCGCTCGTTCATCCGAGTCGACTGCGAGCGAAGGTCTGAGAAGTCGATGGCCGTGTCGGGAAGAGGCACCTTACCTGCACAACAACAGACGCACAACTGGACACGTTAAAACACGAACATGCTTCTCCCAAACATTTGCTCAAATCTGATCTGGTTAAACTGTGAAATATTAAATATGAAACGTCTGTGGGCATTTTGTTCTGACCGGGATCTGAGAAGACGGCTTTGGAGTGACAGGCCAGCAGCAGCAGCAGGATCAGGTTGAAGACTGATCCGTGCAGAGAACACCACACGCTGAGGGACAGAAACCACTGCAGCTTTAGTGACCCGCAACACACACTGCTGGTTCTCAAGGTTGTCACTGAAACTCAGAGACAAATCGATTTGTTGTTGAGTTTTTGTACTTTGTCACCGTGTATTCTGATGTGTTGTGTTGTTGTCACTGTGTATTCTGATCTGTTGTGTTGTTGTCACTGTGTATTCTGATGTGTTGTGAGCTGTCACTGTGTATTCTGTTGTG